CTTTACCTCCTGAGTTGGCAAGCGTGCATAATGTTTTTCATGTATCGATGTTGCGTATCGATGTTGCGTCCATATGTGTGCGATCCAGATCATGTGTTGCAGCACAATGAGATACAAATTCAACCAGATTTGACTTATGAGGAGAAGCCGGTAGCAGTTTTGGACCGAAAGGTTCATAGACTCCGGAAGCGAGATGTTCCACTTGTTTGTATCAAGTGGAATCGACACGGAGAATCAGATGCCACTTGGGAACGAGAAGCAGATATTAGAGCTCGATTTCCAGATTTCGAGTTTTGATATTTCTGGTAAGTATGTTTTTCAGTTTCTTTATTTCAGTTTTAGTATTTCCGAGGGCGGAAATAGATTTAAGAGGGATAGATTGTAATATCCCACTCAGTTATTAATAAAAGTAATTATTTTAGTTCTGAGATTTGAAATATTTACTTTTATTAATAATGCTCGTTTCTAGTAGCGAGTCCAGTTATTAAGTTATAAGTTATAAGTTTGAATTTAAGTTGAAAGTATTCTCGGTTAAATTTTATTTAGTAATCGAGCCATTTCATTAATTAATTCTGATCCGTTTATTTTTAGAAATAGATTTTATTAGTAGGGATTAATTATTTCAAGTTGTTTAATAAGTTTATGATTAATTTGACATTAGTGTTTAATTTAATCATTTGAGTATATTAATTTATTTAGACAGTTTAGTCTATTTAAATTATTAAGAGAGAAATATGAAGGTTTTAAAATTTTCGAGTTTTTCCGATTTTCGATTGTAGTCGGAAATTTAAGTTCGATTTCACTTCCAGAAAATAAATTAAATTATTTCCTCTCTATATGTTTAGTAGACTACAAGATAAGAAAAGTTATTTTTAGCATTAAAAGAAAAAAATACCAAAAGCAAAAGAAGGAAATCTGAAATTATTAGAATTTTTGATTTTACGGTAACTGTATTCACGAATTTTTTTTTATGTCAATCAGATTGGGATCACATTATGGGGCCTTTTTAAGCATTGACTATAGATTGGTTAAGTTTATAAGTTAAGATTACCATTTAATATCTTTATTTATTTTTACAAGTTTTGTTTGTTTATTTTGTTTATTTCTTCACTCAATCATCTTGTCCCCTCTTTTGTGGCTATAAATAGAGGCCTTAAATCAGATTATTTTCATCAAAGAAAAGTTTCAAAAGTTATATAACCTATTAGAGATAAATAAGTTGTGGGAATTTTGGAGAGGTGAAGAATTAATTTTTAAGTTCAAATTTTAGTTTCAAGCAAGAAGAAGAAGGTAATAAGTCCTCCTTTTAGAATGCTTTATAGATAATTTAAAGTGCCTTCATATGTGTTAAAATATGCTAAAGTTCTAGCTTTTAAGTATTTATAATCATGCCATGAAGTAAGAAGTTATGTTAGAACGTATGCATGATTGTTATGTGTTGTTTGATTTCGAGTTAAGCATACTATGTATAACCTGGTATATTAAAATTATTATGGCTATTTCTTGTGTAAATAATGAGTACATAGGAGCAAGAATCATGTCTTTTTGTTAAGTATAGCTCGAGTTATAAATTTTTAAATTTTATCGTGCAAGCTGAATTTTATGTGCATGTTCCAGCAGTGACTTTGAAAGGGCATAAGTTGAGATATATGCATGATAAAATTATAAAATTTTTATGACATGTTTATATATGTTGAAAGCATGCATGTCAACTTTTAGAATTTTGTGATGAGAAATCAGTCATATATAACATCAAGACCACATGTATGTCGAGTTGAAGCTCTATAAGTTTATTTAGTATTTTTCTGGGAAGAGTTAGCCACTTAGAACTGATTATTTTAAATCCAGAGAAGTTAGCCAAGTCAAGCACTTATTGAGAATATTAAGAGCATAGTAATTAGTATTTATTTGCTTATATTTTTATGTAGCTTGAGGATTCAGCTACCAGAACAACACTTAAGATTTTCAAACAATTTTCGAGAAGAAAGGTGGG